ATTCAAATATTGGTCTTTGTTTGACATGTTGGTGACCTCCAATGTGAGAGTTAAGAATTCTTTGACATACTCGTGCAACTAGTCGTTGTGCTTGAGTGTTTTCATCTTGTGACGAGCGATGTACTCTATGTTCTCTGGATAGAATTGTTTCTTTAACTCTTGCTTAAAGTCAGCCAATGAATTAATAACACACATATCACGTTTTATGTCTACACATCTTCTGTGCCACCACAACATAGTGACATTAGTCAAATAAATAGTAGCCATACGTACCTGAGTTATTTCATCATTCACATTAGTTGTAGCAAGATACTTCTCCATTTGCCACATGAAGTTGTTGAGCTCTAACATATCATGAGTGTCTGAATAGGGAGTTAACACCCTAATATTAATGCCCGAGGAGGTGAGCTTGGTCAAGGTGCTGGCTGGGTTGGTCATTGCTCTTTTCATGATGGCACACTCCCCCTTGATTTCATCCAATTTAGCTTGGAGACTAGATGAGGCATTTAGGGCGGACTTCAGGGATGCCCATTCAGCTTTCATCTCATTTAACTCATCCTGGATGGCCATTGGTGTGGAAATGGTTCTTCTTCATGTTGCCCACTTTGTTTTCATCTTATCAAGTTGGGCTTGGAAGTTGTCAAACGTGCTTTGTATGGCAAAGCGGGATGAGCTATCTCATTGTTGATTTGGGGTGCTGTAGACTTCCTTGAGGGTTCCATTCAAGACGTCACGGACCTCGTCCATGACCCCACTTAGGCGGTGTTCCACCTCTCCCACTATGCTCTTAATGGTCTCTATATTTTGTTGGAGTTCATCAACTCGGTTACACGTTTTACCTATGGTGAATTCACAATGTAGCATGCATGTGTTAAAGTTTGAAATCTTGTTGGTGGACTTTTCATGTCTGCTTGCTTTTGATGTCTAGGGCTTCAATGCCCTCGTCTTTGACTGTGTCATTAGCAGGTGCATTGTCGATCTCGTGGGATGGGTTTTCATGGTGTTACTTGCGACACAGGTCAAATGGCTACCGATGAGCTCTTGCTTTGATAGTAATTGTTATGGGGCTAATCCTCGAACCCTATGAAATACTCGATTGTGTCGAGAAAGCCTACAAAATGAAGCAACAAGCAATAAAGACAACACTTTGTGTTGAGAGGACCTCATGCTTAACCTTTACACGGTCTTGGCACCACTCACTTGTCTACCTTCCCTTAAAGAGTAACTCAAGCTTTTGGGGGAGTGATAGAAATAAACATCAACAATAGTGAAAAATCATACTTATAATTACAATAATGGCATTGACTTTCTCCCATAAAAAATACATATATTACCCCACCCAAGACACACTCAAAGACATTCAGATGGCATGCCATAAGCATAGTGGATGACACTTGATGGTGCATCGAAGAATCCAATTGTGACACTATTGCATGGTATATGAATTTCATGGAAGAATTTCAACTCTTATGTATTTGTTGTTAAATTCTGAGCATGGTTGGGAGATGAAGATTTTAGGTGCTATAGTTAAGAATTGAAATCTTTTAGTTGGCCATACTTCAATGTCACACAAAACTTGTTTCAGTGTACCTGCATATTCCTTTCTTTCCAAATGAAACTGGTAGTTGCATAGAAAAAATGAATTCAATGTAATTATGTAAGCTACAACTTAGACACATTGAAGTGCAAGCCCAATAAAGCTTCTTTTATTTACTTCTTATATTTGATATCATTTAGAGACTCTACACACTATACTATCATGATCTAAAGCATTGGGAACCTATGATCTTTATTACAATTGATACACTAATTACTTGATTGAGTTACATGCCTTTCAAATACCCCAACTGTTCAAACCCTACTTAAAGTATTCTCGAACTATCTCACAATTACTTAAAGTGTTCTTGAAGTGTCAAACCCTACTTAAAGTACCCCTAAAAGATTTATAGATATCACACATACTACCCATTCGTTAATTATTGGTCAAATTCCATTTACATATGACATGACATATACAACCCATTTGTTAATTGTCCGTCACATTCAATCACTTTCCTCAACTATAGGTACAGGGAACTCTTTAGTGCTTTATGTCGCAGCCTTAACCTCCTCTCTCGTAGGGGTGTCAACGATATTCGAAAATTTGATTTCAAATTCGAGATTAAACATAATCGAATTGGATTTGAATAATTTGAATATCTAATCGAATAAGTTTGGATATCCTATTCATACCGAATAGTTAATTAGATTTGAATTCGGATACAACTTAATTCGATTCGATAAATATTTGAATTTGATCGACCGATTATTTAATTCTTATATATAATATATAAAATATTTAAATGTCTAATATCATTTATATATATAATAATTAACTTATATGAATAATTTATATATTTATATACTTTATATAAATAAAATATTTATTAATTACCTAAAATAATTAATTAATCGAATTCGAATCAAATATTTGAATATTTAATCGAATTCGAATTCGGATACTGCTTGATCCAATTCAAATTCGATCCTTTCACACCCTTACTCTCTCGTGTGTCTAACACCTTGCATCTGAAATAGTATCATCCTTAGCCTCTTTTGTTGTCTTTGTCACTGGGGATGCTCGGATACATTTGCACCAAAAGTTTCTGTAACAAAATCTTTCTTCTTCCTCGGTGCCTTTTTCTTCATCAGGGGGTTACTACCTTCTGTCCCGATTTGCCGATTTGGAGTTTTGGACTTAGAGGCCTTCTTTTTCCCCCGCCCTTTTTCCTTTCTTTTTTACAACCTCCCCTTCAGAGGAACCATTGGATGTTGCACCCTTGTGCTTTGCGACATAAATTCTATTTTTTACCCTTCAAATTATTGTTGTAGGCTCATAGCTTCTTCAGATTGCAAGGATGACTTACTAAGCTTGCTAATAGCTAGAATCAAACCAAAGTGAAATCCAAGAGCATTGCAACAAAAATAATGCTGGGATGAATATTGAGGAAGTGATAAAGGAGTGCAAGCTATTCTACTTTTCAAGGCAGGAAACAACGTGTGTAAGAATTGTGCATGGGAAGAGGTCTTGCAATTCATCATTGGTAGCAATGAACCAAACCATGGTGGGTTAAACCACCTCAAAATTGTAAGTATTTTCTTTTTTCTTTTCTTTTTTTTTTTTAGCTTTGAAGAATCTAATTAGGCATTCTAGATTTGGTTTCTTAAGTTCCTGAAAACTCTATTGCAGGTTACAATGATATTTTAAGAGGTTCTCAGGTTGTACCCACCAGCATTTTTGTTTCTTAGGTCTATTTACAAGAAGGTTAAAATGGGAAAATTTACTTTGCCACTTGGAGTACAATTAATTACAATTACCAACAATGATTGTTGGTAATTCAAAAAGATTTTCAGAAGGGATTTCAAATAACAAAAACATTTATTTCTTTGTTTTTGCATGTTGGGAGTGAAGAAATGATCCTTCTGTGCGTAGAACAAGCAACATAACTTTTGAAAATTTGAAAAAATTGATCAAAAAAATTAAAAAGTGGAGATTTCATCAACTTGTGCATTATATCAATGCATATCCACTACTATACTTTGATACATCACAATATATTATGATAAGGTTGATACCATGCCAGCATGAGTGGAATTTCCATAAATATGTTCAATTCACCGGTGCCATATGTGTTCAGGCCAACAAAACATATTCCGACCCTCTACCAACATATCTCACACCATACATCTCATACATGACAGGTCCAAGTTTTATGATGGCCCCCAGTCTAATAATGAGATGTGGAGTGTTAGATCAAGTTAGTAGAGGGTTGAAAGTTATTTTGTTGGTAAAAGAGCTCAACTCATATGTGCCACCCCTCCCTTTGGATATGAATATTATATGCTTCTTTCATCTTAACTTGAGACGGGAAATGATCATAGAAGCCATGTATGAGATGTGTGGTGTGAGATGATATTGATAGAGGGCTGGAATGTGTTTTGTTAATGGGGCTCCCATTCCAGCGGGTTCAGATCTGTGAATGTTAGAAAACAAATGAGAAAAAAAAAAGAAAAAGAAATGAGAAAAATTTACATTACAGACTACTTACCGCCTACCGGTATGGTCACCGGCATCGGTTGGCAGAATGCAACGGGTTAATCTTCGGTGGGTGGGTTACAAAAGGGCAAGGGTTTCGGTTCGAAGTGAATGGAGAAGACTGGGAGAAGAAATCCTTTGGGCGAGAGAGGAGTTAACGGGGGAGCTTGAAACGACATCAAAGTGATTTTGCATGCATCTCGCTTAGTGCGTGTGTTTCATGACATGCGTCACATTTCGATTGTGTGAGACGTTTTTGGGGGGCAGATGAGAACCCTAAGTGGGACATGTTTTACATAGTTATTACGTGCTCACTCATGGTGCTTACCTAACGTACCTACTACATTCGGACCCAATATTAAACTGCAAGTCTGCAATGAGACCGGATCTGCTCCTCACACCTGGCACCTCACACACACATCCTATCATGTATCGGAAACATCTCTCATACTTTTAGTTATTATTCACGGGAGATGTTCCATGGTGGATGTGGATATGAGACACCCATTTGTGAGTAGTGTGAGGCACCTCACACGCACATCCTATCATGTATTGGGATCACCTCCCGTACTTATTAGTTATTATAAACGGGAGATGTTCCCAATGCATAGTGGATGTGGATGTGAGGCGCCTATTTGTGAGGAGCAGATCCCGTCACGTTTGCAACTGGTGGGGCGTTGTAATATGTAGGTGATGGAATCTGTTTCTCACAAGTGAGCGCCTCACAGGCACATCCACCGTGCATTGGGAACATCTCCCGTGAATAATAATTAATTAGTATAGGAGATGTTCCACATGCATGATTGGATGTGATTGTGAGGCGCCAGTGAGGCGCTAGGAGTGAGGAGCAGATCCGGTTTCAACATATAGCATCCGATTCCCATAAATAAAGCCAGTTTCAACAATTCCATGGGCCCGCTTTAGCTGTTCACCTTTCTCAGCTAAGCTTCGAAAACAGAGCTTCAAAACTGTCCCTTGCTAGCTTCAAGGGACAGTTTTCTGGTTTTAATTCCGACCTTCATCTTTTTAAACTGCCCCCATCTCACAGTTTTAACCGGATCTTACACCAAAGCAAACTGCAAACCAAACCAGTTTCACCCCTACGGCCACAACAAAAGTCAATCAAATCAAACTTTAAATACACATAAACCAGTTTCAGTCCCAGAAGACATTGCAACTGTGCACTGAGAAGACCTCCCATATATAAGAAGTATGGTTTGCGCAACTCAGAAGTGCTTCATGGATGATGGAAGGTGGTCACCAACAAGTGATTGTTGAGACTATTGGAGCTTTACTTCTCTCGATACGCATGAGACCCGCGTAGCAGGTGCTCTCTCATGTCTCCACAGTGACATGTCTTGATCAAAGTGCAATTTTGGGACCTTCGCCTCCCTGGTCGGTTTCCCTTTTGTTAACTCCTCATCCATTGTCTTCCTTTTCTCGATAGGTAAATCCATCATCTTGTCAATCATTCCTTGCTGTTTCTTATATTTCAATGAATTCTTGCGAGACGATCCCAGAGGGCTATTCACCTCCACCTCCCTCCTCCACCCCACGATGGAACTACGACGTCTTCTTGAGTTTCAGAGGTGAAGACACCCGTAGAAGCTTTATCGATCCCCTCTACAGCGCTTTGGTCGATGGAAGAATCCTCGCCTTCAAAGATGACGAGAAACTCAGGAGGGGAGAAGAAATCTCATCTGAACTTCTGAAAGCAATCGAAGAGTCAAAAAGCTCTATTGTCGTTTTCTCCAGAAATTACGCTTCTTCCAAATGGTGCCTCGATGAGCTCGCCAAAATTGTGGAGTGCAAGAAAACGATGGGGCTGTTGGTTCTGCCTGTATTTTATGACGTCGATCAGTCAGATGTCCGGGAGCAGACTGGGACTTTCGCTGAGGCGTTCGTCAGACATGAAGAGCGCTTCAAGGGGACGGAGATGTTGGACAAGGTGCAGAAATGGAAGGAATCTCTCGCCGAAGCTGCCGACTTGCCCGGGTGGAATCTGCAAGATATTGCCGACGGGTTGGATTCATTTCTTTCCTTAATTATATTAAATCTTCTCTCTAATCTTTTGGTTTTTAAGTTTAACGACAGCATGATCATTGAACTGTGCTTTGTTTTAATTACAACATGTTTTGATGTTGGATTTCTGGCAAGCTTACCTTTTGCTTAACCCCTTTTTTTTGATAGCCAAACAAACATATGCTTCCACCAGATAATCTGATGTTGAACAGGCTTTGCATATTAGGCTATGACATGAGCAGCCCCATTAATCCTTGAAATATGATACGCGACTTTATCAAAACGTATCAAACTACTTTTTATATAGTCCAAAGTAGACCAGTAGGACCAGGGTTGCATTTTCAGAACCCCTTAAAGTGAAAATAGGTATAAGAGAGTCTGATTCAACTTTTATCATCATTTATCCACAATTACAAACAAAACGCACAGCTTGATAGACCGCCCATAATTTTGATTTAATGCACCTCTGAACAAACTCCACTTGTCCACCTGCAGCTACAATACAACAATTATTGATAAAGTGTAAAATCCTGTATTTTGTATTGTTTTATATGTATTTGTACTGTACATATTTGTATTTGCACTCCTTCCAAACTGAGCCGGAAGGAGTACCCTGGTTTGATTGTATTTTTACATATTTGTATTTGTACTGTACAACCCAATCCTAAGGCTCCGTTTGTTTGAGATATAAATGCTGAACCGGGGTATTTTCTGACACTTGCAAGAATTTGTATTATGTACCCCGGTTCGTGTTTGCAAGAATTTGTTTCATATGTAAAAAAAGATCAAAAATGTATTTTCTGACACTTTTGTACTCTGAGAAGAGAGCATTACTGTACCTAATTTTTGGATACAATTTTGTGTTCTTTTGATAATTAACTTTTTGACCAAAGTTAGCATAAGATGGTTGGAGCATTTAATGATGGGCCCACACTTTGCACCGATTTCAAACAAACAAGATGAGTGCAAAAATGATTTAAAATGTGAACCATGTTTGCATTCTCATGAACCAAAAAAGGGTAAATATGCAGTGTACATATTTGCGTTTGCATTGCATCTAACTGCAGCCTAAAGAGCAAATCCTTGTGAACCTTTAATATCCCTTAAGACACCCATAACATTTTACATGATAAATCTGATCCTCCACACCTGCATTTGATCACAGATTTTTTATGGCTGCACTGATTAGAGAATTTGATGGGATCCAAAGTTGCAAACAAACACACAGAACCATTTAGAATTTGCAAAGTACAACTCAAAACCAATACATCAGATCTTCACCTGTTACTGAAAACTAAATACTTTCTTGCATCCTATATATAATAAAATACAACAGCAATGGAAGCCAGGAACTTAACTCCTTCATTTTGCGCATCCAAACTAGTAAAGAAAAAGAGAACGGAATCCAAAGAAAACCCAAATTGGTTTTCTTTTACAGTGCACCTAAGGGCTAGCAAACAAAACTGCTCTGGGTAAAAATAATTGACAAAAGAGATGAAAAAATCTACTCAGCCTTAACTTTGGAAACAGAACATAAGCTAGTTTCATATATACCTTTACTACATAAAACATCCTTGGTGCCTAAAAAACCCCTTCAAATTTGCTACCAAAAAACTTAAACTTTGGGAGAATTTTCAATTTCCAAACCTTGCTAATTTACATTTGTAACTGAGTAGGAAGTGTAATACTCAAAGCAGACCATTCTTTCCAACAAAACTATGCAACAGGACACTTACTAGACATAGCAACCGTAAAATTCAATTTGTCCTCCCTTACTTCTTTAAAGATGGGAGTACCAAAGTCTTATTAACTTCCATCTCCAAGAAACTATCATTTAGTTTTTGAGATTCCAGTGTTCCTCTTGTCTTCTTTTCCCTTAAGAAAACGTGGAAAAATCAATTAGTGAGGTTAGATTGGTTGGTCACCACTTCCTATAAGAGAGGTAAGCTCTGGCTGAGCAGAAGATATGGTCATATAGATTGAGAGATGCACATGAAAAATAAATTTAAATAAAAGTGTAAATACACTTTTGAGATTCCAGTTTTCCTGCATTTTTTTTTCTTAACACTTGCCCTACACTTTCATTCACTTTCTTAACATTTGTTGGGTATTTGTAGGGGATCTAGTCCTACAAAATTAAAGAAACAATTAAGCTCTTGGAACTTGATTTCATCAAATTCTTCATGATAGGATCCTTTGAACTTGATTTCTTCATGTTTTTATGAGAGAATCCTTTCTTCTTAATCAATACACGGTCTATCTAAGGGAAAATAAAAGGGTTTCAACACTTGTATCTCAAACATATTAGTACCTTCAATGTGTTTGTTATCATCAAAGCACATAGAGTCAGTGTATTTCTCTTCATACATCTTTAATAGCTTGATTAAGAAATGACACTTTCACTTATCTTTGTTAATCGTCTCTGACTTATGTTGGCCATTCTGGATTCAGATGTTGTTATTGTTTTGCATTTAATTGTTGAATGTTTGGCATGCATACTTTCTTTATATGATTTTTTTTTCATCCATTGCATATTTGTTGGGTAATTTGTGTTTATTTCTTCAATGAACTCATACTATTCATGCCTTAACTTGATTTTCACCTACTTATGTACTTGGAATTTTGTAAACTTTTGTCATTAGGTGTATGGACTTCAGGGGCTTTCTCTTCATTGGGGTTAGGTGCCTAACCTATACCTCCAAATATCTTGTTCTTATTTTCTTGATAGGAAACAGTAACTTTCATCAACTTTAAAGAAGAGAAGTACAATTGTCATGCTCCAAAAATAAGGTGACTCCTCAAATCACAAACAACTTAAAACCATGCCTAGAATAATGCCTCCCTATTAACTCCTTGCTTTGCTAAAGCATTAGCTAAACCATTTGCTGACCCCCTAGTCCATTTAAATTGTGCTCCAAGATCCCTTTTTAGGTTCATTATTTCCCTTACAGATTGTCTAAGGGACCAAACGCCCAAGTTGTTTGTTTGCATCCATCCTATGACCAACTTTGAATCCACCTTCTACTTCCAAATATTGAAAGCCTAGCTATTTATCCAATCTGAGCCCTTGAAGTAGCGCCGACACTTATGCTTTAATTGAGTCACCAATTCCAATTGGGTTAGAGAAAAGGGCTAAGACTCTTCCTTCCACATCTTTAAAAACACTCCCTACTCTAGAGGGTTTGGGGTTACCAATAGAACTACCATTAAAGTTCAGTTTCACCCTATACTGTAAAGAAAGGGACTAAATATCTTGAATGGTAGGAAATGATGAGGAACCCACTACTGCACTCCAACCTCTAAACAATTGTCTACAGAAAAAACCTTGATGAGATCCAAAGTTTTCAACCAATGTATGATCTTGATGGTAATTCCTGTGATAAGTTCACCTTTTGATTTTTCTTTCTCTTGGAAGATCCTATTGTTCCTCTCTTCCCAAATTTCCTAGATAATGTCTGCTCCTGTTATCCTCCATATCACCCTTCTCCTTTTCTTTGGTTGTTGGAAGAATCTAAAGTCAAAAAGGTCCACCATACTCGAGGGGGGAATCCACCTGCAACCAAAGAGAGAGGAGAACAAAATATCTGGTTCTTGGTATCTCATTTTCAAACATAGTTGCATCATTCTTGTTATATATACTTTGAATTGTCAAATTTGGAAATCCTTTTTAAGTATTTATCAGCTTTAAATATAGGAATCCTAATGTCATAGGAGAATCAATACTGTGGATGTTCTACAAAGAAAAGGCCAAATTGGTGCATTTCCCCACATGTATGTAGCATTTGTTTGAGTGGTGAGATGGTGATGACTTATCTATTAATCTCTTGTCCTATTTTTTCTTATATTTGGGATTGGTTCTCTCTCTCATTTCTTGTAGGTGGAATCCTCTCTTGGGTAGGGTGAACCTTTTTGACTCTAGCTTCTTCTAAAAACCAAAGAAGACGGGTGGGGTGATGTGGAGAACAACAAGAACAGATATTTTGTGGTCGTTTTGGGAAGAAGGAAATAAAAGGATCTTCCAAGGGCAAGAAAAATCAAAAGAACTTATATAAGGTATTACCATCAAGGTCATGCACTAGCTGAAAACTCTGAATCTTCAAGGTTTTCTCTTCAGATGATTTGATTAGAGGTAGAGGACAACAACTGTTTCCTCATCCTCATCTCCCACCCTTCAAGGAAGTTGGTCCCCATCTCTACAACATAGGGTGGAATTGAATTTTGATGGAAGATCTATAGGTAACTCATGTCCTCTGGAGTTAGGGGTGTTTTTAGAGATTCGGAAGGAAGAATGCTGGCCTTTTATTCAGGCCCTATTGTGGTAGGTGATTCATTGAGAGTAGAAGTGATGACTTTACTCAAGGGTTTCAAATTGGTAACAGTCAGGAGTTCAGCAGCTAGAAGTGGAGGGGGTTCCAAGTTGGTAATAGGATGGATGCAAGTGAGTAGATTGGGAACATAATCCTTTAGATAACCTGTAAGGGAAATTATGTGTCTAACAAGGGATCTTTGGGTGCAGTTAGATGGACTAGAAGATCAGCAAATGGAATGGCTGACACTTTAGCAAAGTGTTTTGGGCTAGTTTGTAAGATTGCTGTGTTTTGAGGGTTCACCATCTTTCTTTGGATGATGACAGTTGTAATCCTTTAATCTAATTAATGAAAGTTAACATTTTCTAACAAAAGGAGAATCCATTTCACAAAAGTTGAAATGAAGTTTAGAGCAAATCTAAATTTTTTTCAGATGGGGATCCTGTTTTTGTGCTTTATTTCAATTCATGTCTATTCTGCTTATATAACTTAATCTGGATGACAATCGACAGGAATGTATCAAAGTTTATCCAAGTGATTGTTGAAGAGTTTTCCAAGAAGTTGAATTTTGACGTTGCAACCTATCCAGTTGGCATAGATTTACGTGTGGAAGAAATAAATTCTTTGTTAAGCATTCAGTCAGATGATGTTCGCATTGTAGGGATTTGTGGCATGGGGGGAGTAGGTAAAACAACCATTGCCAAGGCTGTCTACAACCTAATTTCTTGCAGATTTGAAGGTGGCTGCTTCCTTGCAAATATCAGGGAAGTTTTGGAACAACCTAATGGTTTGGTTCATTTGCAAGAGTTACTACTTTCTGATATCCTAAGGGAAGAAAGACCCAGGATAAATGAAGTCGGTGAAGGAACCAAGATGATCAAAGAAAGATTGTTCAGGAAAAGGGTTCTCATTGTCCTTGATGATGTGGATCAAAAAAGCCAATTAATTGCATTAGTTGGAAGCTGTAATTGGTTTGGTTTGGGAAGTAGAATAATTGTAACAACACGAAATGAACATTTGTTATGTGAGATTGAAGCAGATGAGATATACCAGGTTAAGGAATTGAATAGTGAAGAATCTCTTCAACTCCTTAGTCGGCATGCCTTTAGAAGAAACCATCCCATGGAAGATTACAAGGAGCTCTCAAGTGATGTCATCAATTATGTTGGAGGGCTTCCTCTTGCTCTTGAGGTTCAGGGTTCTTTTCTATTTGAGAAGGGCATCTCTGAATGGAAAAATTCCCTAAAGAAACTAGAAAGAATTCCTCATAATCAAATTCAGCAAAAACTTAGGATAGTTTTTGATGAACTAGATGATGTAGAGAAGGATATTTTCCTAGATATCGCATGCTTCTTTAATGGAATGGACAAGGACAGTGCAATCACAATACTTGGAGGTTGTGATTTCTTTCCAGAAATTGGAACAAGTTTTCTTTTGCGCAGGTGTCTTATAACCATCAATGAAAAGAATGAGCTGTGGATGCATGATATGCTACGAGACATGGGAAGGCAAGTTGTTTACGAAGAATCTCCCGAGGAGCCTGGGAAACGCAGCAGATTGTGGTTTTACAAGGATGCTTATGATGTCTTGACGAAAAACTTGGTAAGAGATTTGTTAATCTTTTGTTGCACCTAAAGGATCATTTGGCTGGTTTTTAAGAAATGAAGTGAATCGATAACAAACTTCATGACTGTTGAGGTTCCTCAGTAGCTTTTTTTCTTGGCTGTTGAGGTTCCAAATCAATTAAGGGGTGATCAGGGGAGGCCTAGAATATTAATAAACACATACACACTGAATCAAAATTCTCAACACTCAACATTAGGCTTCACCACAAGTATAAATTAGCAAATAAAGAAGATAAAATAGAAGAGGAAGCAAGAATTAATTCTGCTATAGCTGTTGGCTATGGTAGAACTAGAAAACAAAAGAATTTTTTTTACTCAATTTAATGGAATAGATTATTTTTTACAAGATCTCTTGACATCCTTTTATAGACCCAAAGTAACACTCCCAACTCTCATTTGGATTCTAACTTCTAATTCCTACTTTTAATTCTTATGTGTATTCATACTTCAAATAAAAATTAAAAACTTCCTTTTCAAACTAGGACACACTATAATTCCCTAATTCCACTAAACATAAGAAACCCAAAATTACTAAAAATAGCAAGCCATCTTTTACTATAAATAGTCATGACGAAAATTACTATAAATGCTAGTCAACTTGTTGACTAGGACTTTGATTATGACTTGCAGAACACAAAATCCAGTGAACTTAAAAGTCTTTAGTTGGGGCACTTTCAAATGTTGGATTGAGCTGAAATTCTATAGTATTGGAGTTCTGTAAGTGTAGTTTAATGCCACCAAATTTCAGCCAAATCAAACAACATTTGACTGGACAAACAGTCACCTTTCCAGTTGATGATGCATTTTGCAAGTATACTATTTTTCTTCAATTTCTTTCGTTGAGACTTGCTTAAAATGTTATTATTATACATGGTGTTTGGAAGCGTGGGCGCTTTTGGGACCGATTTTCAAGAAAAAACGCCCATGCTTTCAAAACCCGTTTTTCACAAAAAAATGCTTCTACCAAATAGGTAGTGAGAAACACTATGCTGTTTGGCAAGCACCGTTTTTCATGTATGTGCTGACAGGTAAGCACCACATAGGATATACATCAGTTAACCGTTGGGGGAAATGGTTTACCGATGCATGAAACGCCAATCGGTGGGGTCTTGATTTTCGAGGCATGCCTGATTTTTTAATAATTGGCTGAACCAAACAATGAGATACATGGGCATTTGTTGAAACACCTATGTGGATCCAACGTGGCACCATTTTTTTGAAAAACGGCCACGGTTCCAAACATCCCCTTGAGCACTTGCATCACACACATACATATATTCCAAACCTGGCCTGGACTGAACTTAGGGCTGGAAATTTGTGGGCCAGGCTAGAAATTATTGCTGGGATACTACCAAAATTTGACACTGGCGATCCAGTTATGGGCTAAGATCGGAATTCTTTGCCACTTATCCTATTCTCAGTTCGAATGAGAAGTGGAGAATGGAGCGAATCCAAATTCTTTTCACCGTAATGTTATGTCAGAAGGAATAAGAAAGAACAAAGAGATCCAGTTAGAGATTTGATTTCATTCCTACATTTGTCATTAGGGATGGTCATGGAATGGGCTGGGGCCCAGCCACCCAGGCCAAGTTCTGGCCTGTCATTTTAAATATAAAATATTAAATATATAGTATTTTATGTTATATGACTTTATATGTATATAATTTATGCTATACATTACAGAATTTAAAATATTATATAATATGTATTATAGTTATCACACTATAATATTTATATATAATGTAAAATATAACATAAATAACACTGCACATATATATATATATATATATATATATATAGTCGATCATAGCCCAACCCGAAGTTCTAAACCCTCAACCCTAATCCTATCCCAATCTCTTAAAATCTCATACAATCTCTCAAGTTCAGATCTAGACTCAACTTTCAGTATTTGTTTGCTTGATGTTTTTATTACAAAAGAGAAAAAGTAAATAAGATGTGATTCAGTCCACTAAAAATCTGTAAAGTAATCTCTGATTATAGCAATGAAAGAAAGCAGAGAAGAAGAAGATAAAGGAGAAGAGAGTTCGATGATCTTCTCTCTTATCTCTCTAATTCTTTTATTAATCTATCTTAACTAAGTCTAATTACAAATCTGCCCTTAAGTGGGCGGCTAGTTCATCAATATACTTAAAAAAACAAAAAGAGATTAGCAGGCCCCTGACAAACATATAAAAAGGGAAAATAAGCACTAGGGCCCATTTGTCCTGTAAAATCAACAATAATGAAACATAAAATTATGAAAAGAGAATCATTAATGACAACTAATAAAATCAAACAATTAAATTGAATATTCAATGAATCTTATATTATCCACATGCTGATAAAAGAAATCTTATATTAGCCAAACTAACATGTATCATATATATCAATCATGTCATATTTTTATATAAGATGTGTACACAATAGTGTTGGGTTGGGTTGTCTGAGGGGTCAACCCTAACCCAACCTGAAGTTGGGTTTATAGATTGTGCCTTAACCCTAATCCAATCCAACCTGACTTTTTTGGGTTGGGTCTGGGCTAATTCAGCCCAAGTTGCAGCCTTGTGTATCTATATATTGCATAGAAATGTGTGTGGATTGGGTCAAGCCAGGCCATGCTTTTGAGCCAGGTTATAAATGATCCCCCGTATATGTCATGGAACTCAGAGAAGAAATCAAAACCTTCTGTCTGTGCTTAAGGTTTCCGTCGAAAAAAAAGGTGTGGTATCAAATAGGAATGAAAATGGGGCAGGGCGGGGACGGGGAGCCTCTCCCCATCCCCGTCTCCACGGGGCAGGGAGTGATCTCTCCGTCCCTGCCCCGTCTCCGCTAATGGGGATGAGAATTTCCCCATCCCCGTTCCCATGGGGGAATACATCCCCGTCCCCGCCCCATTCAGAGCGGATCCCCATAGGGATCAGGGAATGGGGAAAATTGCCATCCTAGCTAGTGGGCTTAGCTAAGCATGCACCCTGCTTCTGTCCCCATCCCCAAGTTCTGTAATTTGTACTGTGTATATCGATTAAATAAAGTAACTAATTCTGCTCGTGTCCTTTGTATGCAAACTCATCCAATAAGGCTCTTTATTGTCAGGGAACAGAAGCAATTGAAGGTCTCATCCTAGACTTGCCAAGGTCAAGAACACTACATTTGAGTGTTGAAGCATTTTCAAGAATGAATAAATTAAGATTGCTCCAGCTCAAGAATGTACACGTTACAGGGAGCTACGAAAAATTTCCACAGGACTTGAGATGGCTTTGTTGGCATGGATTTCCTTCAAAATTTATACCAACCAATTTTAATTTGGACAAACTAGTTTCTCTCGATTTGCAACACAGCAGAATCAGACAAGTTTGGAAGGAATACAAGGTTTGTTGTAGTATATATCTTATTTTTTTCCCAATTATTTATCTTTACGTAAAAGGATCTCTTACTATTTTTTCTTCTTCTTCCTCTTTTTCTTGCTGTACAGTCGCTACAAAATTTGAAAATACTTAATCTTAGCCATTGCAGTCACCTAGTCAAAACTCCAAATTTCTGGGGGCTCCTTAATCTTGAGAAATTGATCCTTGAAGGTTGCACAAGTTTGGTTGAAGTTCACAGTAGCATTGAAGATCTTGATAATCTTGTTTATTTGAATCTGAAGGACTGCAGAAAGCTCAGGGAACTCCCAAGCAGCATTTATAAGTTGAAAGCTCTTCAGGATCTTGTTCTTCCTGGCTCCTCAAAACCTGACGCGTTACAAACTGAACCATGGCTCTCATTCTTTTGGTCCTGTGTACCACGAAGAAAAGGGGTTTCATGATCCCAATCATTTCACTCTAATGTGAGTTTTCTGGGTCTCAGTTTAACTCAAATGGTTTGAACGATTGTTTGGTATACAAGACATTTAAGATACAAATACTTCTAAATCAATATTTGTTTTACTATGGTTCAGTTTGAAAGGGGTATACAAATAAGTGGTTCGGTTCTGGTTGAGTTTTGTGTTCTGATTATAATTGGGTTGCCTAGCTTCACCCAATCTCAGAACAGACCTGACCCATTGACAGCCTTCATTTGGGTTGGGTCACAGAGGCCTACATCAGTTGAATTTCTTCAGTCCTAATGCATTAATTAATGCCATTTGTAAACATGACCCTGTTGCCATGTATTGATTGAAGCATGCACTGAACCAATACAACCCAGCTAACTGAAATTTTAAATTCCTATATATAAAATTTAAACTTTGGGTTCTATATTTAGTCTGCGTTTGATATCTTACTATCTTTTGTAATGGAGATTTAACCTTTTTCATCCATTTAAAAATCAGAATTCAGAAAGGTACAATTTTTACCATTTGGTGAAGGTGAGGATATGTGCCTTTATTTTTTGACTACATTTATCTATAATTTCCATTTTAATTATGGATCACGAACACACCTATTTGACCCATATGGTTGAACTGTTGACCCATAATCCATCTTTCTGCTTAGTATGATGAATACATAATATTTGTTGTCTTTTACCTAAATGGTTGAACCTATGACTTGCAACCCGTTTGGTTCTTAAATTTTCTATATATTTTCCTTTTTTTGTATTTTCTATATATTCTATTAAATTTTGTAATTTTACCTTATTTATGACATTCTATGATCTTTGTCTAACAAAAAAAATATTCTAGGTTGACCTATATTGTTGAACTGTTCACTTGGAACCCAATTGTCTATTCTTAATATGATGAATATGTAATATTTGAGAGGTGAACATTTTTTTTTACATATTGTTTATTATTTTTGTATATTTTATATATTTCTCTATAGCTTTTATTTTATTTATGTCATCATAGGTTAACTTATTTGATCTGCTGTCAATGGGTCAGGTACAGGTAGAACTAGAACCGACCTGACAAGTAATATCAAGGACCCAGAACCGAACTGATTGGTTCTTGGGATAATTGGGTCTAGCCCGATGGTCCCAATTATAATAAACCTACTGAAAATATTATATTAAGTTAAGTCGGATTTGAATCAGTTTGGGACTGGGTGGAACTGATTCCCAATCAATAAGAATTGGGACCCAGTTCTTGGAATTGAAACTAAACCAATTGGTTCAGGTCCATCATCGGGTCCAACCCGACCCATTGACAGCCCTACAAATGATTATGAAGGGTTAATTACTTAAAAGCACCCCTAAAGTATCTCTAATAATTACTTAAAAGTGCCCCTAAGTTTGAGAACTTACTTAAAACCCTTAAAGCACAACATAATATGACTCTGTCACATCCTGTTTGTCACATGGCTCTTTCAATATTCCAAAACTTAACTTAAATTGGAAAAACCTTGGCTGTTGGGGTCAACAGCCATTCCTGTTGAGAGAATTTCTGTGTTGGACACGTTAGCATGAGAGTGGGCAAATTAGTAATTATTCATTGATTTATTTTAAATAAAATCAAAAGCATGCCCATGAATTGGTGAACTGCCGTGAACGTATTCAACCCAGAAATTCTCTCAACAGCAAAGGCCAAAGTTAACCCACTTAAATTGGGCTGTGCTAGGCCCATTATTGTAGCACGTGGGCCATGCTGTGGCACAACCTGAGGGTGTCAGACTTAGCTTTTCGTAATTTTATTCCAATTGTATTGTAATTTTTAATTTATTTCATTATTTCATATATAAACAATTGTATACATCAATTTTTATCTATTATGATAATTTATTTTAAAATTTTCATTTTTTTTATTTTTTTTTTAAAAGCATGCCTCCCACTCCCATGGCCCAGTTTGACCCGCAGCCCAGACTGGTCTCGTGCCATGGGCCTTTCTGGGCCTGACATCTGAAGTATCCCAGAAGAGACAAGTACAGTATAACACAGCCCGGTCAAAGCACGGATATTCCGCAAAGTCGTGTCATGCCATCCCAGCACTTCCTGATTTATACTTAATCTTCCCACATGTTTCCTCTATCACTGCTAATAAAACCATCGATTATTTTCTTCCTCATTTGAGGAGTTTTAAAGTCCAAAGAGAAACCCACTAATTTGAAATTTGAGAGGTGCCTGCCTTCTTGATGTTTGACGTCATCACCCTCTACCTATGATACATTAATAGAACATAGCAGAATTGAATATTCTAGAATTCTTGGGGCACTTAGCCACTTGGCACACTTTGTGGTAGTTAGTTAAGTTTATTATTCACGTAAGTATAAATACATGCCTTGAGGGTAATAAATTACGTGAATGTATTCTTTTCCATTCTCGATACCAACTCACAATATTAGAGCAGTGATTGTTCCTGGCTTTTAAGACTGCTGTTGCGATTAGCTTTGAAAGGCATTCGTGTTCATGGCCATGAAAGACATTCCAGGCTTGATGGCACCTGGAGTCACTACAAGAAAAATGCTCTAAGCTGGTGGTTCGGGTTTGGCTTTTAGACAGCCACCTTAGTTTTTAGGGGGCGTTCTTTTTCAGGATTTTGAGAGGGGGGAAAGTTGGTCAATGGGATTTTGGTTCCCATTGACCAAGAATTTCATGTTCTTTTTTCAGATTTATGTGGGGACCAGAGAAAGTTTATTTTCCTGCGGTATCACTTACTTGGGGGTAAATAACTTTTCCACCTAGGGGGAAAATTGCCAACATTTGAATTGGACAAAAATGCCCTTTTTAATAATGGATTTTTATGACTAAAATGGCCATTGCATTATTTACATGACAAATAAAAGAACATGGGTAAATACACTTATCTGGGTAAGTGTTTCCCAGGAAAAACTTATCCAAGTAACTACATTTACCCCGATAAATAACTTACCGAAAAGCGAACTGGGCCTTAGGCGTGGCAATCATACACCCACGGATATAATTATAAAAAAAAATGATTTCATGTGAAAAAAGAGTAAAATAAACGGATGATAAAATGAGAAAAGATTTTAGTTCTGCTTTCAAATTCAACATATATAATTCAAATTAGGTACATCATTTGAAGGTGAAAATTTCAGAGAAGAATTAAACATGGCCATTTTTGTAATTTTATCCTCATTGTAATGTCACTTTTAACATAGCTGGACTTGAGTGTAAATTTCTAAAAGTTCAAAGAACTAAAATGCCTCACTTCAAAGTTCAGGTCCTAAGTGTCACTACACCCAAAGTACAGGGTATCTATCTGTAATTTACCCAGTAATTTTTATTAAAGTTCATTTAAACAGCACCTAAAAATTGCTAAATCTGTTGCTCCTCCATAATGGCTGGTAATACTTGGTTGCAACAGCCAAGGCTGAGCTTAATAGGAGCAGGATACTTGGTTGCAAAAACCAGAATCAAAATATCATTTAATCATGGAAATTCCATTTCAGGTGTCTTGGCAATCATATGTACGCGACATTAGCACAAGCATAAAATTTCCAAGGGATATTAAGTACCTTCATTGGAGATATTAAGTAACCCAATGAGTTGAATGTCATAGCATGCATGATTGAGGAGCTATCAAAGCAGAATCCATGTTCTCTTTGTTGCTACTATGCAATGCTTCAAGCTCTCTCATGGCACACATTCTGTTTACTTTCACATAATATGTAAAAAAAGAAAATCAAAGGTATTTTCTAATCCTTCTTGAATTTCTATTAATTTGACTTAAGATGTGGCCCCAATCTTTGAAATTGTCTTTGTTATAATCTGAATAACAGTCAAATAACATAAACATGTCCCAACTTTATAGTACGTATTACCTATCAAAATTTAGATTTCATGTTAATTAGCATGGTTTTTCTTTAATTTCCAAACAAAATTCCTTCAAGATGATGCCCATGCAGTGGTGCCAGTATAATATAAAATATTTAACAAACTGGGATGAAAGGCCAGAGAAAAATCAACGATTAAAGTTTCAGAACCAATCATCAAATACTAAAAATTGATACCTTCAGATGTCGTTGGTTTCAAGTAACATCAAGGAAAAGGAAAATATACCAAGTGTTACAAGCTATTTAATTCATCACTAAAATGAATGTTTGACAAATATACGAGCTTTGCAAAGTGTATGTTGAGAGGATCAATGATCCCCGATTGGAAAATGACATCAAGAAATTCAGAGGCAATGCAATTTTCCTTGACTCATGTCCAGAAAGCCTTCATCTTCCACAGCCATTTTACATGCACCCATACAACAAGCCACAGAAAACACCATAAAGTAGCATTTATTTTAGAAACTACACTGTACCCACACTTTAAATATCCATTGTTATGCAGATATCACCTTCATCTGCATGGACTGTACACTCAGATTGGATCCATGGGGTGGATTGCACAGCGTGCACATAACCAATCACACCCCATGGTCAATAAAGATGAACCCCTTCAATTGAATTGATTTGGCAAAGCGGTCAGTTACTTTGGCCACATTATCTTCTTCAAATTTCAAACTCATATTGCAAGGAGCAAAGGATTCAATCATTAAAGCTTTAAACGAGGAGTTCAAGTAAATTAACAACTTCCTCACTTCTTTCTTGCGAGGCTCTGTTACTTGCTCTACTATTTGAGTCCTGGTCTTCATGTCCTTCAACCTCATTAGACCAGTCACAATTTCTTTCCAGTTATCTTTATGGCCTCCCATTTCCATAAAGAACAATATCAAAATGACGAAGATGCCATCAGATAAATGGTTGGTTCTTTGATTGTGGACCCTTTTCATTTGACTCGTATACTAGTTGGACCCCACACTTCTTTACACGGAGCGGTTGACTCATTTCTACTTCAATCTCCATTTGATCCCCACAGTCCAACTGATCACCAAATTCATTGTGTGGTATAAGGCCCAGCCACATGTGATCCTGATGGGTTACTGGAACTGTAGCTCCTGGACGGTAGTCCCACTGGAAACCAGTGGTTTTATTAGTAATGATGGTACAAGGACTTGTAATGAGGCTCGTATCAGCTTCATCAGATGCATAAACAGCACATACAGACAATCCTTGAATTTTATGGTCCAAAATTGAAGGCACCTCAAAAGATACTGAAGACCCCACATTTTGATGACCGAACCACTCTGGCACCTCACTTCCAGGAAGAAAGACATCAAAGTTGCCAGATGGACCCTGCTCCATGGAAATAAAGAGGTTCAACAATAAATGTGTATGTGTGTGTGTGTGAGAGAGAGAGAGAGAGAGAGAGAGAGAGAACCTGAAGGAGATATTTTCTGAATGTATTTTCCAGACTATTGCACCCTTCCATATGTATCCCTGTTTGTAAAGATTCTAGCTTCTCTGTGTTCTGAATCTCAATCAAATTGTTGCTATTAGTAACTGCAAGCGATGTGCAACCATCTACATAAAGGTTGGTTAAAGTAGGAGGAAGCTCCGGAAGTGATTGGATCCTTTCATTATTACTTATCCAAAGAGCCTCGAGCTGAGAAAGGCAACTAATGCTGGGTGATAGGCTACAAATCTTGCTTCCTTCTAGATCCAATTCTTCCAAGGAGGATAAATTTCGAAGATCTGGCAATTTTTCCATCGATGAGCAATCTTTTGCAAACAAGTACTTTAAACTTGATGGGAGCTCTGGGAGTGTTTGAAGCCTGGTGCATTTGTCCAAATCAAGGAATTTGAGCTGAGTAAGGCAACCGACGCTGGATGGCAAACTGGAAAAATTGTTGCATCTTATATCCAATTTCTGCAACGAGGATAAGTTATCAAGATTTGGTAAGCTTTCCATTGATGTGCAACCCTTTGCACATAAGATTTTTAAATTTTGTGGAAGTGGTGGAAGAAAATGAAGCCTTGTGCAACCATTCAATGCAAGCAACTTGAGCTGAGAAAGGTAACTAATGTTATCAGGTATGGTACAGAAATTGTTATTGCTTAGATCTAACTCCTGCAAAGAAGATAAGCTCCCAAGGTTACTTGGAATTGCACCTTCTGACAGATCGCAATTACTAAGATCTATTCTTCTTATGGAGCATAAACCTAGGAAGGAAGGTGGCAGCAAAGTGATAGAATCAGGATTTTTTTTTCGAAATCTCCAAGGCCCAAGCAATGAACGCCGTGATTTAGACAATGGTCTCTCAAGTCCTGAGCAGCCAGAAAGATTAAGATCTTCAAGAAATTTCAACTTACAAATGCTGCTTGGGAGACTCCTAAGGTTTCTGCAGTCTTTCAGATTCAAAACAACCAGTCCCTGCAGATTTCCAATAGAATGGTGAACCTCAACTAAACTTGTACAACCTTCAAGGAACAGTTTCTCAAGATTGGGCAGTCCAATGAAGTCTGGGGTACTAGTTAAGCAAATGGAATGACTAAGATTAAGGACTTTCAAGTTTTTAAGAACCTGTATTGAGATAGAGAGAGGAAAAATAAGAAATCTAGCACCATGAAACATATAATTAACATCTAAGAAATAAAAGCATAAGAAATTTGCTGAACCTTGAGTTCCTTCCAGACTTTTTCCAGTTTGCTACGTTGCATGTCAAGAACAACAAGGTTCTCCAAATAAAATTTGCTTGGTATGAATTTAAGAGGGAACCCATGCCAACAGAGCCACCTTAGCTCTCTAGAACAATGTCTGAAGTCCCCTGTGATGTCTACAAAATGGAGTTGGAGAAGTCTCAGCTTGTGCATCTTTCTTAATGCTTCAGCACTACAGCATACCCTACTTGATCTAGGCAAGTTTCGTAGGCTGAGACCCTGAACTTCTTCCGTTCCCTGGTAAAAGGGGAGAAACAACAAATAGTATTAAATGGGTAGTGTGTGCACCAAAGCATGTGTGTGTGGAAACAGAGATCAATGAGGAAAAAAATTCCATTAGAAATAATAGTTACACTGATCTCTAATGATATCAATGCCCTTGCAAACATCTTTCTAGCCATGGTGGTGGCATATTCTAGCCAAAATTCATTGAACACCTTGATGAGGTTGTTCCATCCTATGATACAAAGATACCTGTACAAGGGTGTGGCATCATGCTGAGTTCAATTTTAGTCTAGATTTTAAATTTGGCACCATGTCATTGCTATATCTGGGTAACATAGATTCCATCTACGATTGATAATTGATTGAGATAAGTTGAAACCATCAATGTCCAAACTAAACCATTCTTCTTGAATGTATACCATTTTATGTCCTGGATGATGTGACACAGTTCTAGGTAAATGCTAGGCAAAGAGGGCTAGCTTCTCAGATTAGTAGGCATCATTAGATCAAGAATGCATGTGATAGAAATCGACCAGCACCCTTGAAGACTTGTTCTAGAAAGAAGGCCTTACAACAGGTCCTGATATGGCATAGTGATGGTACTTGGGATTTGGACTGAATTGAACACCAAGGGTATTTTTGCCATTTTGTATTTTTCTGTAGGGTCCAATAATAGCGTTTGAATGTCTATTTATAGTTTTTTTATGTTTAAAATTTCAGAGTCATTGCGTAAGTAGGATTAGAGTTATTGAGTCTTTGAATTGAAATATGATATGATAGCTTAGTTTGAGTCCTACTAGGGTTATTGAGTCTTAACAGTTTGATTCCTAGGACTATTACGAGTCTAACAGTTTGACTCCTAGGATTATTATGAGTTTAGAGTGTATAATTATGTATGGATGTTTTACACAAAGGGCAATGAAATATTCAGCTTATGCTAACTATGGTGAGTGATTCCTATGCCCTAGAGTGATTCTAGGCACCTTGTGAGTGATTCCAGGTATTTTCTCTCTTATTCCTTCAAGAAGCCATTACAGCCATCAACATCCATAAGATTCTGATCAAAGAAAACCATTCAATATTCTCTAAGGTCTAGAACTGGGCTGGTCCTACATCAGCATGCCAACAATTTCTGGACTTGTGGTCACAAGGTAGTCCAACATTTAGGACATGGATGAGTTTGGGCATGTCATCCAACTTGTATCTTTTTTCAACTGTTAGGTGCCACTAAAATGTTCAACCAGTGAAATCAGCAAACTGGGGCTGCAAATGGCATCTGATCCTCCGAATTCAAATTTGACATTGATCCTATGAAGGCTGATCCAAATTCGATCTGTTTATAATTGGATCAAATATGGATCAACCCCTATCCAATATTCAATCTGGTAATAATCAGATTCACTTCAATTAAAATATATGTGCTTATATATACTTAAAAATTTATATTATAATTATTAGTAAAGTTGGTTTGGATTTTGTATTTTCACTAAATTGTCATAGGTTCAAGTTTCATACAAGTAATATTTAATTCATTTTGTTCATAAAATATACTATTAAAGTCATCTTTAACTCATTTTATTAAAATATAACATTTTGATTATTTTTAGTCTTAATTCATTCATACAATTTAATATCTGATTATAATCCAAATCCGCTAGACATCTGGATACGATCTGATTCGAATTCAAAATAAATGAATCAAATTTGGATCTACCCATATCCGATTCAATTTGATTCGTTTGCAGCCCTACAGAAAATCATAGTTTTGTGTGTGTGTGTGTGTGTGTGTGTGTTTGGCTGGAGGTGTTTTCTTCTAGTTTGATTTTGGTCTTTTTTTTTTGATAAATTGATCTTAATTTTGGTCTATTTTCAATGTGATTCTCTTAACATGTTGCCTCTTCAATGAATCAGTTTATTCATCCAAGGAAAAGAACATTTTTTCTTGCTTTTATTTATCAATAACATGTAACTTTCATTAAAAAACAATGAATAGTACTCTGCAATTGTTTGGATGATGGCTTAGCCAAAGCAAGGGGTTTAAAGACAGATTATGTATTGGGCACAGTTGTAATATCTTTGGGCATTTTTTGTGTTTTCTTTGGTTCTATGGTTTCTCACAAGTTCTTGTTGTATCTTCTTTTTTTTTTTATTTCTAAATTCTAATGAATTAATATTTCCTGCATTGCTGATAACAAAATGAATATTAAGTACAGAAAAGGGGGAGACAAACTCTCTTAACTCACCCACCAAAAGTCAAAAAAAAAAAAAAAAACAAGATTACAAATTAGCCCAAAACAAAGAACCTATGGGCACCCTTTGTTTAGCTAACCCATTAGCAAAGGAGTTGACACTTCTTTCTACCCAATTCAGTTTTAGTGTTTTACTTTGATTTCCTTTGTCAGCCACTTAAATTTCCTCTTCTCATTACTGTAATTCCAAAAACCAGTTAAATCTTCCTTCAGCCATCCCACATTTTTTTCTCGGTTTTAATAACAAGAAAAATAGTGAGGACAATACTTTGACACTAAGAGAACAAACCATAGCATCATACTCCAACCAATTAGGATCAGGAAACTACATGGAGTGATTTGAAGGCTGCTCATTCTAGTGTTTTTGTCAGATTTAAGATGGATATTTGGAGATCGGTTAATCAGAGATTGATTGCTCAAGGAAAATTATTGAAGTGGCAGAAATTCAAGAAATATCTATCTTTGGAAATAGTTTCTAGGAGCTTTTGGAGTGGTGATTAGCCTTTCTGAGTTTTCTACAGAATATTTGTAGGGTGCAGTTGTGTGTGTGTATTTATCTTTTTATTTTTTGCAATCATCCAGGATCCCTAGAGTGAATGCCTCCAGTTTCTCCTTTTTCTCCTAATGTGCTTATGGAGGCATTTCCCTGGAGATACAATTAAGGTTGAATCTTCCCTGGCTCATAGACAACCATTTGTCACCTATAATATTCTTAGTAGTTTATTTGCTGCTTGGTGTGGAGTATGGACTCTATAAGAGGAGAGATTAAGGCTGGTGCAGATCCCTGGAGACTTCCCAATAAGGTTCATGAGAACACTAGTCTATAGATTACTACTATGGGGCTAGATTGTCAAGACTGTTGGAACAGACCAACAGAAGGCAGTTAGTCAGTTTTACAAGAGGATGCCACATCAGCTCAACTAACCACACTTGTAATAACTGCCATCCACTTGTAACAACTGCCATCCAATTAGATTGTCAAGACTGTTGGAACAGACCAACAGAAGGCAGTTAGTCAGTTTACAAGAGGAGGCCACATCAGCTCAACTAACCAGCCACTTGTAACAGCTGTAACAATCAAGATTGTAACACTATAAGTAGTAGAGCAGAAAATGAATAGAGGAGGATTCTTTCAGGATTAAATTCTCTCTCTCTCTCTCTCTCCTTCCAAGAATTCAGGAGGTTGGCCCCTCGAAGAGCCCTGAGTTAGGCAGGTTCCTAACAATTTGGTATCAGAGCCAGCATGACCAACACAAGAAACACATCAGTAGACACCCGAGTGGATCAGATGGAGGTCGAGATCCATCGAATGTCTTCAGATCTCAAGGAAATGAAGGAAAGCTTCACTGCTCTCCTCCTTCGACTGGAGCAGGGGGCAACAAACATTGACAGAGGAAGCCCCGAAGAGCGTAGCAATGAAAACAATCGCAGAACAGGGGTGACAACACGAATAGCCAAAATCGACTTCCCCATATTCTCAGGCGGCGACCCAACCCCATGGATTTTCAGAGCAGAAAGGTATTTCAATTACCATGAAACACCGGGACAGGATAGGGTAGCTCTGGCTTCTACGCATCTTGAAGGGGAAGCTAGCCTCTGGTTTCAATGGTACCGAAGGGGGCACCCCCCTCAAACCTGGGTAGACTTCACGGACGCCATGACTGTCCGTTTTGGATCATCTGGGTTCAAAGATCTTGATGAAGACTTGGCAAAACTGCGACAGGTGGGATCAGTAAAAGAATACCAGATGGAGTTCGAAAGGTTGGCCGTGAGAGTCCAAGGATGGACTGAGAAGGCGCTGGTGGGAAGCTTTGTCGGCGGCCTAAAGGAAGAATTGCGACTGGAAGTGAAGGCGATGCAGCCCACTTCCGTCATCAATGCAGCAGCACTAGCAAGACTGTATGAGGACAAGTTCAGCCGAGCAAGAAAGGTGCAGCAACCATGGGGTCCAGGAGCAAGAAAGGAGCAAGAAAGGACGACAGCACCAGACAAAGAGGAAGGAGTTCCGGGCCCAGGCCCACTGGTTCCCTTCAAGCGACTGAGCTGGGCAGAGATGCAAGCCCGCAGAGACAAAGGTCTCTGCTACAACTGCGAAGAGAAATTTGGGCCAGGCCATCGCTGCAAGAAACAACAAGCGTTTTTCCTCCAAACAGATGCTGAAGAGGAAGACGACAACACCGGTTGCGGAGAATCTAACCCAGGTTGGGAAATACAATCCAATGGCATGCCTGAAATATCCTTACAAGCCCTTACGGGACTTGCGTCACCTCAAACAATGAGAGTTGCAGGGCTGATTCTAGGGCACCAAGTGTCAATCCTCATAGACAGTGGCAGCTCCCTTAACTTCATAACCCAAGTCTT